GAGGAGGAGGAGGAGGAGGAGGAGGAAAAAGAAGGAGAAGAACCCTAGTGTCCTTGGTCCTCACAGATGGCTCATGACACAACTAGGGAACATCATCAGTGCTACAAGGGAGGAGGGTAAGTGTAGAGGAGGAGGAGGAGGAGGAGGAGGAGGAGGAGGAGGAGGAGGAGGAGGAGGAGGAGGAGGAAGAGGAGGAGGAGGAGGTCTCTGACAATCTGATGATGTTACCCAGTTGGGTCATGAAATGTCTGCAAGAAAACAGCCAAGCTCCAAGAGCACCAGGGACCCCTCAGATGCACAGAAGCAGTATGGAGACAAGGGCTTGGTAAGTATGTTCCCCTTGATGGCAGCAACGTCGTACCTGTGAATTCACATTCACACATTACGCTCTCAGTCTCCCTACCTGGTGTTGGGGAGGCAGAGGAGGCAGGCTGCCCTTTAGGGGCCCGTGTCCAGGCACCGATGGAGGGCTCCAATCTCGCTCTTCACTCTTCTTCATTTCCTTAAAAGGAGGACGACATTCAGCCCTTTGTCCCTGCAGGCCAACCTTTCCATGATTTCCCTCCGTAGCAGAAGAAATTGACCATGCAAAGAATATTAAGGGCCCATCTCTTTCCCAAAATCAACACTTCCAATTCCCTTGAAGAGGGGGACCCCCTCTGGAAAGGTCAGGGGGTTCGCAGGGGTTTGGGAGAGCTGATAGCTAAGATTCTGTGCAGAGCCCCCAAATCCCACTCCTGGCTGGCCCCGCCCATCGCTCCCCGCCCTTCCAAGGAGTCCCCAGGTGGCCATTTTGTATGCGGTGCAGGGAGTGCGCGGAGGCTCGGTGGGGGGAGAGTGAAAAACGGGCCTCCTGTCAGTTCAGGAAGGGCAGAAATAGGCCCGTTTCCGGCTTCCAGGGAGCCTCCTGAGCCCGGGGAGGCCGTTTTCACCCTCCTGGAGGCTCGAGAAAAGCCCTCCCCTCCCGCCATGGTGCAGGAGGCCAACTAGGCCAAGTCCCCCACTCAACATCTGGGCAGAGAACCCGTTGCTAAAATTTTTGAAGGCCCAGCCCTGGGAAAGGGCCTTCAGGGTAGAGATCAGCTGGTCTCCTGGAGTTTGTTGGCCTCAACTACTCCCTTAGTATCCCAGCATTTGAGGGGCTGCCCCAAAGATGAAGCGTTATCCTCCAAAGCCCCAAACGGCAGGAGAAGAAACAACGGATGGAAACTCATCGAGGAGAGAAGCAAGCTGGAACTCAGGAGAAACTTCCTGACAGTGAGGACGATTAACCAGGGGAACTGCTTGCCACCAGAAGTTGTGGGTGCTTCATCCCTGGAGGTTTTCAAGAAGAGACTGGACAGCCACTTGTCTGAAATGATATCGGGTCTCCTGCTTGGGCAGGGGGCTGGACTGGATGGCCTCCAAGGTCCCTTCTAGCTCTATCCTGATTGATTGAAGAGTATGGATAGACTTCAGGTTGCAATTATTCATTTAGTGACTGTTTGAAGTTACAATGGCACTGGAAGAAATGGACTTACAACCATTTTTCACCCTTATGACCGTCGTAGCGTCCCCATGGTCCCATGAATGAAATTAAGTCATTTGGCAACTGACTCCTATTTACGACGGTTGCGGTGTTCTGGGGTTACATGTTCCTCTTTTGCGACCTTCTGACCAAGAAAGTCAACAGGGAAGCCAGATTCACTGGACAACCCATGTGACTCACTTAACAACTGCCAGGATTCACTTAACAAAGGTGGCAAGAAAGGTGGTAAAATGAGGCAAAACTCACTGAACAGCTGACTCACTTAGCAACAGAAACTTTGGGCTTAATTGTGGCCATAACTCAAGGAGTACCTCTACAGAGAAGTCTACTCATGGGGTGAAGGTGAAAACACATGGCTAGCTGGCTGTCCTGCCCCTGTTGGACTCTGATTCTGAGGGGGGGGTCGAACAGCTGACAGGGAGTGGGAGTGTGGCTCCGGTGGCTGTGGAGGAAACAGGGGAAGGACACAGGCCGGCTGGGCATACAGAGGAAGACCCAGGCCCACCCCCTCTTCATCCTAGGGCACGCAGGGAAGAACAGATAAGGGAGCAACATGGATTACGGGGGAGAAAAAGGCCCTGATTCCCTCCATTAGCTGCAGCTGGGGAAACAGGATAAAGAGGGTGTTTGCGCACAGCACTTTGCTGGAAGCAAAGTGTGAATTATCTCTGTTTGTCAACTGGGTTCTGGCGTCCTCCCAAGTGTGTGTGTGTTTCATTATCTTTTGAGTTCTGCAATTCCTTATCCTGCCCCGTCTCGTTAATTGCTGAATTTCTTCCCTTTTAAAGGCTGTTCTTGGGAGAGTTTTTTCTCCGGCCAATGATAACTGGACATTGGGAGCCAAGTTGGAGGAATTAAAAAGGACTTTACCTACTTTTGTGACTTTGTGGCTTTTGTACCACGCCCCGGCTCATCACATTGGCCCCAGATGCATGAAAATCACTTCTGTGAAGTGATGACAACACTGAGCAACAATCCTAAACCAAGAAGGACTTAACCCCACCTGGTTTGAGTTGATTGGTGAAGAACACGCCTAGTCAAGACTCGAGATCCTCACCTTTGACTTCTCTTGGGTTTCCTGAAGTTCCCGGGCCTGGCAACGTGCTCGTTCCTCTTCTGCCTTCTTCCTCTTCTCTTCCTCTGCTGTCTTGGCCATGTTTTCAAAGCGTTGTCTCAAGTTACCCATCCCAGCAGAAGCTGTTTGCAATGAGAAGGTTCAATAGAGGGGCTTCAGAATTGGGAGAAGAAGCTTCCTCCATCTCCAATCAGGAGGAAGAGAATTGTCCCTGCTGGGATTGTGTAGGTCCTCTGGTTGACTGGTCTTCAGGAGAGCTCTATGAAGCCTCCTTAAACCACGGGTGTCCAACCTTGGCCACTTTTAAGACCTGTGGACTTCAACTCCCAGAACAGATTCCACATTCTGCATCCATGTACGTCGTGCCAGGGATGAGAAAGGGGCATTGTTTTGCTCTCTGTGAGATCTTCCCCTTCTTCCCAGTTGCCCATGGATAAACTTACTAGCTTCTACAGGTTTTGTCTTCTGATACGAGGAAACGGGAGCTTCCATTTCACCAAAACCAGCAGCGCTCTGAAAGAGAAGTTGAAGGGAACCGATAAAAGAAAACCTTCGTAGCCCAGGATTGGTCCTCTCTGAGCTTGGTGGTTTTCTTGCAGACATTTCATTACCTAACTAGGTAACATCATCGATGCTAGAGGGGAGCGGAGTTTGCAAAGTAGGGGGATGGGAAGAGGAGCAGGAAGACTGTGGGGTCCTTGGGGCTCTCTGAGCTGGGTGGCTTCCTTGCAGACGTTTCATGACCCAAGTAGGGAACATCATCAGTGTTGGAAGGGGGTGGGGTTTGCAAGGAGGAGGAGAAGGAGAAGGAGAAGGAAGAGGAGGGGGGACACTGGGGTCCTTGGTCCTCTCTGAGCTTGGTGGCTTTTTTGCAGATGTTTCAAGACCAAACTAGGTAACATCATCAGTGCTAGAAGAAAGTGGGGTTGCAGGAGGAGGAGGAGGAGGAGGAGGAGGAGGAGGAGGAGGACAATGATGATTATGAGGAGGAGGAGGAGGAGGAGAAGGAGGAGGATGACTGTGGAGCCATTGATGCTCTCTGAGCTTGGTTGTTGTCCTGCAGGTGTTTCATGACTCATCTATGGAACATCATCAGTGGTTTCCCCACTCACTTCTAGCACTGAAGTTGAAGTCCACCTATCTTCACGTTATTAAGATTGACAAACTAATCTAGATTTATTAAACTCATTCCTGATTTATCCTTCCCCTGAAGAATCCGTAGGTCATGAAAACAAGTCTTTCTCCTTTTACATCAGATTGAAAATGGCCGCTAACACCCGCTAATGGCACCACTTTAAGAACGCAGCAACTATCACAGACCCACAGATTCCCACACACACACATTTTGCATGGACCCCATGCAAGATGGACATACAGTAAGCAGTGGGACTTCCATCATGGAGAAGTGGCCAGCATCTTGACCTCCTTTTACTTCCCTGTGTACCCCAGGTAGCATAAGTCCACTACCAAAGGGTAGGAGGAAGTTATGGACACCTTGGGTCTAAAGAATGGGAACTGTAGCCTAACATATCTGCAGGGAAAAACATTGGAGAAGCTTCTCCTGAAACCTTGGTGTCAGGAGAATAAAAGGGCTAGAATTAGAAGCGTTCGTGGTAGAGAGTTTGAGTGGGCTCATGTCCTCCTCAGCACCTTCTTCCAACCATCAAGACCCCAGCTGAGCCCAACCCAGGTTCAACGTCCATTTACCTTGTCCACTCTGTCTTTCTGCACCCCATAACGGCCTCCAAAGCCTTGAGAATGGTCTGCAATAAAGAAAACAGGCAACCTTTTATGGAAGCGAGAAGCATGGGTTGAACTCAGAAGTCCGAGCTTGAGGTCCCTCAAGGGCTAGTTTGAAGAATGGATTGGTCCCGTGTTCTTTGTGGCAGCCCCTCGAATAAACACAACTATACACAGCTAAGAAAGGAAGAAAACATAATTGAAAATAATAACGATGGGAGCCCAACCTCTGCTACCCTTGGTTGTCCCCTGTATAGCAGCAATACCACCATCTCTTTCAAGTTCTGGAAAAGAACCTGGGAGCTTAAATTTGTGAAGGAGGAACTGGATCTTGTGATTCTTAGCTGAAAGATGTCAGAACAAGGTTTCTTTCTATGTTGTATATCTATGCTCTTCTAAGAGGTTGCCCAACTGCATCTCCTTCCACAGACCTGTTTGAGATTCATGGGGCTTGACTTCTTCCTTGTGGGACCATCCCAGGGCAGACTTGTCTTGGCGGTCCTTCTGGACACCATACTTCCCGCCAAACCCAACGGCATGGTCTGCAATGAGAAGACATTTTTCAGAAAGACGAAGAGACATGAGAGATTATTTGAGAAGAAAACAAAGGGACTTGCAGCTCCCAAGGAAAGAACAGAAAACAAGACATTTTCTGAGTTTGATGGATAGATACAATCACAAAACCTTCAGATGGCCTAGCCTGGTACAACCTAATAAGCCACTCCCAAATGCACAGCCTAACCAAGATCAGTAAAGTTAGTTCTCTGTGTGAGTGGAGCCACTAAATCATCAATTGATCTGGTTTGGTGACCTGGTTATGTGTACATAGTCAGCATATTGTGGGGTCCATGGTGCTCTCTGAGCTTGGTTGTATTCTTGCAGTTATTTCATGACCCAACTAGGTAATACCATCAGTGCTAGAAGGAAGGTGGTTTGAGGAGTGCAGGAGGAGGATGAAAAGGAAGAGGAAAAGGAAGAAAGAAGGAAAAGGAAATAAGGAGGCGGAGGAGGAGGAGGAGGAGGTGGAGGAGGAGGAGGAGGAGGAGGAGGAGGAGGAGGAAAATGAGGAGGAGTGTGAAGTCCCTGGTGGTCTCTAAGCTTGGTTGTTTTGCTTGCAGACATTTTATGATTCAACATTACCTAGCTGAATCATGAAATGTCTGCAAGCAATATAACCAAGCTCAATGATAATGAAGGGGATAGAGTACTGATGATGTTGCCTAGTTTGGTCAAGAAACATCTGCAAGAAACCCGCCAAGCTCAGAGTCCACCAAGGACTCCACGGTTCAACCTTGAACTACAAATATTGTCGTCCCTTCGAGGCAAAATATTGCTAGGTGAGTCGGTTCTAAAGTTTTCTAAGTCTTCCTTTGTGGGTTGAGCTGGTCCTTAGCTCTCAACCAAAGCTATCTCCCTTTTTGGATAGGGAAAAAATGGACTTGCAGCTCCCAGTCCAAGACCCAAAGACAGATGGACTTCCTTCTCAGGGAGCTTCCAAGAGGAGGTTGGACAGCCATCTTTCTGGAATCCTTAAGTTTTTGTTCTTGTCCTGAGCCAATTCTAGAATTCATGTTCATGATTTGAGAAGATCCTTGTGTAGTAGACTAGCGAGGAAGAAAAGCAACCCCTTGTACATATTGTCCCCAAGTAAGACAGGGGTCAGCCAAACTGAAGGACCATCAGGCCACAGTTTCAACCCTTCAACCCATCTGTCTTTTCTACAGACCTGTTTGAGATTCATGGGGCTTGACTTCTTCCTTGTGGGCCCATCCCAAGGCAGACTTGTCTTGGCGGTCCTTCTGCACGCCATACTTCCCACCAAATCCAACGGCATGGTCTGCAATGG